TGCCGACTCAGTCACAATCCGCTTTTGGATCAATCACATAAGACTTATTTGAGACAAGTGAACAAATGGTTAAAAGGTGATAACAGCGACTAAGAATGACGTCAAAGAGTCAAGCAGGAAGGATTCTTTCAACAAATCGAACTTTCAGCTGCCTGTGAAACGACGGTTATGACGATTGGGTAGCGTATAAGACAAAGTGTGTGTCTGTAGAAACTACAGACGAGTTGAAAGTCAAACTACTTTACAAGTTAACACTACTTCGCATCTACTCGGATAGTCTGCAACGAGGTTCATAAGTACAGAAGATATGAATGATTACTACAACTTACATTCTTTCGTGACTTAGGTTTGTCTAAGCCAATGAGAGTCAGAACAGTTTTCCGGGAAACTGGGTTCAAACAGATGGTGAGAACAGACTGGACCGGAGAGCTAGTACCCAACACTAACGTGGAACTATAAATTACAGCTGAACAATCGAAGATTCAGAATTACGTGGTCAATTCAAACTGTACTTGAATTTACAGGGATCAAAAACGAGAAGGCTAATGCGAGAGGAGTACAGCAAGATATTGATATTGTACAAACGATCTTGAAGACTAATGATGTCAAAACAGAGCCAAAACAGGATTACCTGGATCGTTAGAACCTTTAGCACTCTCAGATGATGACTGGATGCTCCGGTAGACATAAGGCTTTGTTTTTTATGAATAGTGCGAACTATCTCAAATGCAGTTAATACAATCATCTGAAGGTTATGGATAAGGTTCAATGGCTACCACCCAGCACGAGACTGAGATGAGCTTACTACTGAAACTAGCAGAACCGCAAAAACGAAATAAACCGGATAGAATATTTGTCTGAAAGTCTTTAGATGGTAAGATCCAACTGTCCTCGCAGACATGTAATCCAATTGCTCCTGTGAAAGCTGAAAACACTTCATATGAGAGGATGACCCATCCCGATGAACTCACATTGAACGGAAGGCTACTCGGGTCAAACTCACTATATCCGATTTGGAATGTTACTGATGATACGAAAGAAAAAAAGAATACAATAACAGCACAGATAATAGGAAACAGATTAGGTTTCTGGAAGAAGGAGAGAAGAGATGAAGCTGAAGCTCTGGCACACACTTACCCTAAGGAAGTGAGTATGATCAACTATCAAGTACAACCGGAACAAGTAGCTTCCAACAAGAGTGAAACCAAAAGATCCGAAGAGAAAGCAAAGGATTGTGTAGCTGTTTGCACATGTCAGACCAATTAGGTAACAGTATCCTTCACAATAGAAAAAATTATAATTGAGATGGATTATAAACTTTATAACTAGAGAATACTGGATACAGAATAGGAATATCGTAGCCTGGAAAACAGATTTCAAAGAGGAGAGTAGAGAGAGTTACTTACTGCTTGAGCGTGCATCAACATCTTGTAGTAGTAAGATTCCTTACTTGGAGGTGACAAGTAGATAATCAGATAACTGAGACCGTAAGCAACACAGGTGCATATGGCGAGAATATTGTGAATCATTTTATATGTTTCATTATCGGGCAAATGATGATTCGATAGATAGGAGTCATAATCACTGGACATGACAACGATGAAGTTCAATTCGCATTCGAAGGAACCGAGTTCTCTGCAGCCTGATTATTCTGATGGAATTGACGCCTGGAACCTATTTATAAATGAACAGCAGACAGCTGCAACTGCTCTCGTTCATTTCCTCAACAACTAACGAATTCATCTGAATATCTTTACCTTCGTTTTGAGCTTTCATATCCTGATGCTCCTTCAAAACCAGCGATTGCTTCCACTGCATTTGATTTATCAGTTGTTCTGGTTACTCTTACTTGATCTGTAAACGTCTCAACAATCAGATTCACAATAAAATATGATCAAGCAAATCAAGCCGTCAAGTGGTGCTGATGCCAGGTGCTATTCACTTGAAGAGCTCAAAAAGAAAGCATTGAGAACGAAGAAGAGCAGACATTGCAATAAAGGAAGACGGCATTGACCGCATTGGTGTACAGATTCGAATTGGATGATGAGAAACAGAAGAGACACAACCCCACATCCGTTATCAAACAATCTGAAATGAAATCTCAACGAACCTAATAGCCCCGTTGTTATGCTAACCACACACATAATTACATAATTATATATAATTCTTATACTTCCTACATGTATGAGTTGGCATAGAACAATCTGAAACAGATGGTTCACTTCGCATTCGAGACATGCAATAGC